AAACCGGAGTTATGTGGCCTTAAATTTTTAGTTATGTCGCCCGAATTCCTGAGTCATGTCGCTCGAAGTTTTATCAGGTGTATTTCATAGAGAAGTAAGTGGAATATAATGTAATGGGATGTTAGGATGTTGAGCATTAACAAAATGTTGAGCGATATAACTCAGCATTTAGGGCCGACTTAACCATAAATTTGGGGTGTTATTACTTCGACTTTTGGGCGACTTGACCGTAACCAACCTCAGAAGTTAAGTACGCTTCTTCTAAAGAGCTACTACAGTTTATGTTTAACAAATTAAAATGCTCTTCCTTTTAGAGACAAATTCCATTTTACGAAGAATCGATCTTTGCTGTAAAATCTTGGCACCTATCCTTGTTGGCCAGATAATGACATACATCTCCAAGGTTGCTGGGGTCGTGCTTCTAGCGGGCTGGAACGTGGTTTCGGTCTTTCTGGAGTACTACCTTTTATGGAAAGTGTTTCAGTCCGTGTCTGCGTTGTCCCAAAAGGTATTCGATACAAGGCATAAAGATGAGACGGAAGAAGGATCCTCAGTAGACCTTAGCCAAGAGGAGCCACAGGGCTCTAGAGGGAGCCTGGAGTCGATAGAAAATGATGACCCTGGAAGGGGCCAAAATGGGACAGAGGCATTGGTCCCTTCTGTTAACACCAGAGTTCGAACAGTCCAACGCAAACCAGGGATCTTCAAGCTTTTTAAGAAAAGAATTATAACTTTCAAAAACGGCTGGAATATTTATTTTAGGCAACCAGTATCCCGTCCTGGTTTGGCCCTTGCCTCATTGTATTTTACAGTGATATCATTTGGAGCCATCACAACAGGTTATGCGTATACACAGTGCCTGAGCGAGTCCATTCTTAGTATTGTCCGAGGTGTTGGTTCGTTGTTTGGTGTCTTCGCAACCTTCGTTTTTCCGATGCTGCGAAATGCCGTTGGCGTTGTACGGTGTGGTTTAGTCTCAATGTCGCTGCAGTTTTCCTGCCTTCTCTTGTGTGTCGCGGCAGTTTTCGCACCTGGATCCCCATTTTTTCTGTTGCCGCAGAGTTTAAGGGTAGACACTGTCACGCACCAATGTACCGCGACCCTGTCAAGCTCCTCTCTGCCTCAGTGTGGCGAAGCTCATCTTCCCACACCTATGGTAACTCCGACGTTTCAAAGAATGGTCATGACCAAAGAGCTAGCAAATACATCAATGTCTTCTGTACTTCCATCAAGCTCGCGTGCCATACCAAGCTATCATACGGTGTATGTGAACTCCACTGTAACTCCGACGTCATCCCTTGTCAAGTCCTCATTTGCAGTCTTCATAAATGCCTCCAAGACCTCATCAACCTCAACCATTTTCCCTACTGTAACCCCTACCCAAACCTGCTTTAACGCGACAGAAGCCCCCACCTTTGGCAAAACGTTCTCGTACGTTTCTATTGCCCTGCTTTTAGCTGGTATCGTCACGTCCCGCCTTGGCTTATGGATGTCAGATCTCGCTATCACGCAGCTTTTCCAGGAAACGGTACCTGAACAAGAGAGAGGAATAGTTGCTGGTATGCAGAAGTCTTTTAACTCTATGCTAGGCTTGATCATGTTTGGTCTTGTTATCGCTCTCCCCAAGCCGGAACACTTCGGGCTGTTAACTCTCATGTCCGTTTGTGCGGTTGGTATCGGTGGGTTGTTATATGCCTCGTTCGCATATAAAATTCGCGGTCATCTGTTTCATTTGGAAAAACTGCGAGTTTTCTGTGGAGGATCTACTACTGACAACCAAACAGCTTCGAGATTACAAGATGATCTGGATCTTGAAGATGACGAGGAAGAAGCCATGATAAGAGGAGCTCTTAGTACAAGGAATGAAAACTTTAAATATTGAGGAGTTTGCAAGTTCTAAGGAAAGCAAGTTTCAAGCAGCATCTAGCAACGTTATGCCAGAATGTGACGCAGTTACGAGCACTTTTCTCGTCGATCGACCTTTTCCTTTCGATTAATCGATCGATTAGTTGCCTCTTTTAGGTCACATTTAATGGTTATTGTGACCTGTGCGGAAGACCATTGAATGAATGAATGAATGAATGAACAACTTTATTAATGTGTCAATCTTCTAGCTGGCTATATGTAGCCTACTAATCAGGGACACCAAAAGTGGAGGGGGAAGAGAAATAGCGCGCGCGAGGAGAGAAAAAAAGTCTTCCTTCCATTCTCGCGGCCTATTTCCCATTTTCCCCTTCTCAGCGGTCACTTGCACCCAAACAATCATAAGGTACCCTCCCTGGGGAATCCGAGCGCTTGTTTTTGATACAATAAGTATGTAATATTTTCTTTTGATTTAATTGTGAAAGGCAAATATCGACTTTCATTTCCAATCTTTGCGGTCTGGGACGACTACGTAAGTAGGGCCCTTACGCGTTTAGGTGGCATTTAATCTGGTTGACACTTCCGCACTTCCGGGGGGCTGCTCCTAAAAAATATGGGCTGGGTATGTGGCATTTTTCTTGAAACCCTAACCCCATTTCAGCCCGGAATATGTTATTTCTCCTTTCCTTTTTCACCGAGGGATCGTTTCTCTAAGGTCCCGATAATCGCCAGACCCGGAAGACTTTTTTATGTTTGCCGTATTTTATATTTAGAGGACTAGCCTGCGATCAAGCTTTCCGGCGCGTCCCGGAGAGCTTGCTCGGAGGCTATCAGAGGACTAGTTTTTAAAAGTTTTGCTAATGATACCAAACAATTATCGGGTAAAGCTGGGACAAAGTGGACTAGTTAGTGAACTAGAACCCGCCCCAGCATTTTTTAGATTGTATTTTAAAATATTTCGTTAGGACCGTGAAATTACCGGGACTTCTGAGAAACGGGCCAATGACCCGGCGCTCTGAAGAGTTGAATAATAGAAAGATATTTCTTCTAAACCGTGGAGGAAATCTGTCCCGGATGGAAGGGTCACCTTTACAGCCAAACGAACTTTAATGAGCCCTTTGCATGAGCCAATAGCAGCAAATAGGGCTCGCGCATGCTCTGATCAAAAACCGCGCTCACGGGACCAATTTTAAATAATAGGGCTGAGTAAACAAAACCATTCCCTCTGACGTTGCAAATATTTATCTAGCTGTTATTACACAACTACGCCCCGAAGGGAAGGTAAGCAGTTAACAATTATTCCTGGAGCCCGAATGGGCTATTGACTCAGAGGCCATGAGGGCGAGAGGAATAATTGTTTTAGTAAAATCCAACTAGTTGGTCAAGAATATCGAGACAAAACAACTTTAGCTAGCAAAACGCGATTCAGCCGCTATTGTTTTGGTTTTCAAAGCCGGCGCTTTTCGCTACTAGTGGGCTATAACATATAGCCTAGTAGTAGCTCAACCAATAAGAACGCGGCTTTGATAATAGACCACTAGTTGGATTTTACTAATGGTGGTTATATACCGAGACGCGAACCGTCGAGGTATATATCTAGCGCTATGTACCGGCCCCGAGGGGTATAACAGTTTTAGTAGTCACTAAATCAGTTAGATAAAAATGGAAGAGTAATTCTTTTTGCAAATAAAAGGCTTCTCTTTGTCACTTTGTTTACCTCTAAATTGACAGAGTTTACAAAAATAGCGGGAAGTCAAAGTGTATTTGTATGATTTTGTTGCAAATTCAGTGACAAAATATTTTTCTACCAACCAGTAAACACCGTCAAGTCAAATTTCGTCGGTTTCTTGAGTATCTGTTTTTTAGTTGCCCCAAACTCGTTCCCAGGGTCATCTCCCACTCGCCTCCCGGAGTAGTAGAGCACACTGGGAACAAGGTTGGGATATTGCGAATGACGGGTACGGGCGCCACTCAAAACGCGCTATCGACTGAAACATTTTGCTTGTAGTAGTCATAGTGAGCCAGTCCTGCCTCGTACCCAGACGTCTCTCTCTCGATGAAAATTTGCGCGCAAAGAAAGGCGGGAAGGAGGCTTCGCCTCCCCTCTTTACCCTTTGGCATGTCCTTTGCACTTCGTCACTAGTCACTCGCGTTTCGCGCTCGTCTCTATGCGAAACCAAGCGAAAAATGAAGCGCCTGAGGAGGAGGCTGAATCTATTCCTAAATTGCACTTCTTTAGATCATTTAAAAAAATGACTTTAATTCACGAGGCCCCGTCCACGCGTATCCGGATATTTTGAAAATGGAGATTTTCTTCTCCGTTTTAGCCTTCTGTCCACACGTAAGATAGCGTACAAGTATAAAAACTTGCCAGCGTATTTTAATATTTGTTTTAAGTTCCCTGATTTTTGCCAAAATATGGGCACGCAAGTTGTATACGGCATAGAGTTTTCAAATGCTCATTATACAGTTACAGGTGCAAACAAGGTTTGAGTTGATCTTGTTTTGATACAAACCTTCCTGCTTTATCATCTAAATCAGGTTTTCTTATGCTAACCTCTTATTTTTGAGCATATTTTACATAAGAAAAGGAAAGAGGTTTGTATCAAAACAAGATCAGCCTCAAGTCCACTCAAAAGCTAGGATACTAAGCCCACAACTGTAAAATGTTCTATTTAAGTGCCAGCCCTTCTTTAGTAAAAGTTCATGTTTAATATTGCTCATCTCATTTTGCGAGACTAGCCAAATACACATGGGACGAATCGACTCTCGTACGAATTAACGAACTGATACCCAGACGCATACCAAGCAAGTTGTGGGAACGTCAGTTGACGACTGCGCGCGCAAATCAAACAACTGGCTTGACCAATGGCAGAGTGACAAATTGGGCACCGGAAGTCGAGTTTCGTCGTTTTCGTGCGCTTTCCCGTCGTCAATGACGTTCGCGTTCTGTTGCTAAATCAGCCTATTATCGTCACTAGCACGCGGGAAAATGCCGTGAGAGCACTGGGGATGAGGTTTTACTGTACTAACAGGAATACAGCTATTTTGAGAAAGGTTGTCGGATAAAGTGCACGCGACAACCCCGAAAGGTATTGTGGGTTGTTTTTGAGTTCACTGTTTTTCAAGGAAATTTGATAGAATGGCAGGAGAGGCCATGGACATATGTCTGTGAGTGCTAAAGGAAAGCAACAAAAGTAGGTTCGACAGCTACAGTGTCAGGAACAGTGTATTGATCATATCCCATATTACCCTTCCGGGATTGTCGCGTGCACCTTTTTTCCCACAACCTTTCTCGAAATAGCTGTATACAAGACTACCACTGACATATGGGCGTTGAAACTTTTATTATTATTAATTCAGTGAATCACAACATCTACAAATGGCGTGCCTACACGACCACACTCTAACAAAGAATTCCTTGAACAGAATTTTCAACTTCATTTACAAATTGCGATACCAAAAATATATAAAATGTAACTTTTGGCGTTCTTCTTCCACCGCCTTGCTATTCAAAACAGTCCCACAGCTGTCTGTTTTTTGATTGTAAAAAAAAGAGGTTTGAACAATACTCCGGGGTCTCGGGGTCTCCATCCTTCCTCATTGACGCACAAACGTCTTACCTCTGTAACGAAAAAGCAACACAAATTAGTAAGTGTGCTGCTAATTAACAACTTAAATAACACACGAATGTCCTTCAGAATTGGAAATAGAGAGCTTTAGATTCGAGGACGAGAACGACTGCAAGTACGAGATTTGACTTAAAGTATTTTTGTGTATTATCAAAAAATACCACGGAACGCTTCATTCTACTTTTGATTCACCAGAAAAGTTAGCACTGTTATCTTTTTTAAAGGAAGTTAAGCCCTCTCCCGATCGCAAAATGATAAAACTTGAAACATTTGATAACTCGTTTCCGCCACTACCACATTCTTGCCAAACTCGTAGTAGAATGACGACGGCTACCACATTTTCCCGCCAAAATGACG